GCTCTGGCCGCCTCTCGCCTCTGCTGCCCGTGCCGCTGCCGCTCTGGCCGCCACTGGCCGGGCGAGCGAGCAGCCTGCGGGGGCAGGACGCTGCGGCGGCGGCGGCTGCGGCTCCAGCGCCGCTCGGCGGCGGCCAACAGCGACACCCGGAGGCGCCGCCGCAGCACTGCAGCCGCCTTTGAGCTGCGCCGGGGGCTGCACTGGCGCTGGGTTCTCTCCGCGATTCCAATCAGCAATCAAAGCAGGATCTCCTTAATGTGCTTCCTAAGTTCTTTGGGACTGAGATGCGCTGTCGGGTGGTTTTAGGTCATCATCCAGTCAGTCGTGAGAATCAAATATCCATAAATATTCATATCAGAGAGATAAAGGAACTTGGGTACCCTTAATAAAACCAGGGCTAAAATATAGGAGCAATAAATGGTATTAGGAGGAAGACTTCAAGATCATCTCACTGTGTGAGACCTCTTGAATTCTGCTGAATTCATAACCTGAGATGAATTAACCCGAGAAATCGATCAGCCTAAAGCAATTGAAAGGATATCTATGCTGAGGTAGCAGATTTAACAGTTACTCTTTTGTTTGTGATTCTTAAAATGTTCTTCTTTTCATCTCCATACTTGAGGGGTTGACAACGGCAAAGTGCAAAGACAGAGTCCTTCATAGAGTCAAACAATAGTTTCAGTTCAAAGGGTTCTTTCAAGGTCATTTAATCCCCAGCTCTGCCATGGGCAGGAACACTTTCCACTACGCTAAAACATTCAAACCCTCATCCAACCTACCCTTTAACTGCAGAAGTATCTGTAACTTCTCTTGGAAAAAAAAACTTGTCAAATGCCCTGTCACTACAGGCCATGATTAAAAGGCTCTCTCCATTTTTCTTTTAAGCTTAAATAAATAATAAATGGAAAAGAGAAAAAAAATCCACAAAAAGGCCTCTTTTCTCCATGTTTAAGGACCTGAACTCCTTCATCCCTTATTTATAGCAGAAGTGTTCCCACCCTCAGATCATTTTTGTGGTTCTTCTGCAGAAACCAGCAGCTCCATGTATTTTTGGTGTCTCACAAAAAGAGCTCAGAGAGGATGAAGTACCCCTATTCTCTTAGCCTTATCACTCATTATACTTGGCAAGATACAACTTTTTTTAAGAGCAGCAAGTACACTTTACCAAATCATGTCCCATTTTATTACTCGCCAGTAACCCCATGTACTTCTCTGCAAGGCTGGTCTCAATTTCCCACTGGAGATTACCCTGAGGCAGGTGCAGGACCATTTCTTTGGTCTTGTTGAACTTCATGATGTTTGCACAGGCCCACTCCTCCAGCCTATCAAGGTCTCTCCAGTTGGCATCTCTGCCCTCTCCTGTTTACATCAATTCATCCTGACAGTAACAGAACTCAGGGACACCACATCTCCTGCCTTCACACCTGCTGTACCATGAACAAGAGGCACTAACACACGATGCATGGCTCAATAAAGCAATGCTGGTAATCACAAGAAAACCCTCAGGCATGTAAACTAAGAAACAAAACCCAAAAATGTAAATGAGAGAAGCAAGGCAGGGAAGCATCAGGAGACAAGGAGTGATCAGAGAACCTCACTGGGAAACCTTCTGGGTCTTCCCTGGAATTCACTTCTGCCAGCACTTGGAAGTCACTGAGATCTCAAGTTGTAAGTGCAGACCTAAAGTCTTACACCAGACTACCTACTTATGGGATTCATTTTAAGAAAGAGTCATCATCTCTCAGCAATTCTACTGTGTGGCTCTGCATTTCCAATCTTTAGTTGCACCATGGACAAGACCTGAATTCTGACTACAGGGAAGCACCAGGGAAAAGAACATTTCATTCAGTCCCATATTATGGAAACATAAACTTATCAAAGTGTTTCTCTTAGCTGGTGTCCACCCTCAAGGTATGGAGAAGAATTTCTCTCCCACCCTGGCAATTCCGAAGCACAGAATCAAAAGTTGGAAGAGACCTTCAAGATCCTCTGGTCCAACCCTCAGCCCAGCACTACCATAATCACCCCTAAACCATATCCCCAAGTGCCACATCCAGAGGCCTCCCAAACACTTCCAGAGAGGATGACTCCACCACCTCCCTGGTCAAGTTATTCCAATGTCTGATCACTCTTTCATAGAAACAAGTAAACAAAAAAATCAAATATCTAATCTGGGTTTCCCATTATACAATTTAAGACCATTTTCTGTCCTTCTTTCCCTTAAGACATGGCAGAAGAGAACAACCTCCACCTCACTATAATCGCTGTTTGAAGTAGTTTCTTTGGAAGGGTTCTTTCAAGTTCATTGAATCACCAGGTCTACCATGGGCAGGAACACTTTGCACTGGACTAAAACACTCAAAACCTCATCCAACCTCATCAAAACCTCATCCAAACAGAACAATGAGGTGCCCCTTGAGCTTCCTCTTCTCCATACTAAATAACTCCTATTGTCTCAGGAGAACTGAAATATCTTGAACTTTTCCTCAAAAGCTTAAACAGCTTTGGTGTGTTCACAGGATTGCCAGGCACAAGAAGGCCCAGCTTTACTCTTTGACACGAAGCAAACAAATAAATAAACCACAGCAAGAGTGAGAAATCATCAGAAGTGTATGAACCACAGTTTCACATTTCAGATTGTGTCAGATGTAGGAGGAACACAAAGGAAATTGGTTTGTAGGAAGTGTGCAGGGGGCTCACACAGGAGCTCACAGCATAGACCCCAGACACACTCATGTCTCTGGCAGTGAAAAAACAAACAAGTCTGGTACACAGCTGTGGCCTCATCAAACAACTGGGTCAAACTGGAGCTTTACACTGTTCTTGCAGCCACTTCACACTGTAGAAGAGTGAACTCCTGCACCAGCCTTTTCTCTGGACAGACAGATCTCTTTTCCCCATCCACAAACCACACAACAGGAAAGTTAAATCTGCAGACACACACCACTACAAGAAAAGTTGCACGCACAAGTTCTTAGATCCCAAGTATCCCAACAAAAATTATTCTGCTCATTACAATAATTGGAATAACTTTAAAATGTTATACAGAACAAAAGCAATCAGCAGCTCAGTTAAAAACCTGGGTATCAAAGTATCAGCTTAAAGGGAACATCACACATGGGTTCTTTGAAAGCTCTACCACTCATAGTGTAAGATGTGTTGAACCCAAAACTTGGCCATTTGAGTCCAAACTATGCAATATCAAAAAATAAGATTCCTTCTGACTTATTTTCTGATGGAAAAGGTCCAGCCCTGGGAATCAGCAAAACACAGGCCATGTCTCCACCAGTACCTCCTCACACACAACACATCCAATAGGCCCTTCAGACTCTCTTCTTGGTTATGTAACTAAAAGTAGGCAATAATTCAGGTGTTTAGTAGGCAGTGAATACACAACTTGCTTTTCCCAAAGCTCCCACATGACCTTTGTAATAATTAGGCTGTGCAGTTACACAATTATGGCAACATGCAAACACAAAGAAGGAAACTCCCAGGAGTGGAATAACATGTCCTCTAGACAAACATTTCAGGAAAGAAAACTTCACATTTCATGATAATACAGGTGGGTAATGAACCAGAGAACAAAAAAAAGCATTCTCTTGTGGCCTTCAAGAGACTCTCATGCACAGCTCCAAGGATTCGAATCTCCCACACTTCTCAACATCCAGGGTGTTCAATGACCCATCTAACTGATATGGCATATAACACTCAGTTACCCAGATCATTTCTCTTCACATCACTGTCACACAGGTATCTTTATAAATCTGTATGAAAGAAGATATGTTTGAATCTAATTTACAAGCACATGGTCCATAAGGCCCACTGTATCAGACCATTTATCTTCAATCCACTGACTTCACACAGATGTCTTTACATTTCTGCATGAAGATAAATTTGTCTGCTCACTGATCTTCTGTGAAGAAACCTCAAAGTTCTTAAACGAAAAGAGGAGCAGTGCTCCTGTGAATGTATGCAGACAAGCACAGTGGGTCAATGAATAGGGGCAATCACCCTCTCCTTACATCTCCCTCTGCACCTTGAGTCTCTCCCCTCGTGCTCATGCAAGGCTCTTACCATGACACGTATTTTATAGCCGAGGCATATCTAGCCCCATTTCACATGGCTCAACCTTAAAAGACAAGAAATCAGCAGAACACCCCTGCTGTTTCCTCCTGCATTTCCCTCTCCACGTGCAGCCACTCACAACTCTTTTTGAGCAGTTACAGCTTTCAACATGATCCTTCATCTTCATAACAGGCGGGCAGACATCATGAATGCACCAGTTGTTGCCCAGCACTTTTCCATACAGGAAACTCAAAGAGCTAAGTATGGATGAGTGTGAAGATATAACCTAATGACCTCCATTATGTATCACCGAGGTACATTAAGGCTACAAGAGTACAAATGATGAGCAGCAAAGTTACTCATGGAGTTGTCAAAATTACAACCTAGAAATCCTCACCGAAATCAAGTGCATGTGCCTTCGGGAAGACACTTGAACCTGCAAAGAACACAATTTCCTAATAAGGCAACACATCTGTACAGAAGACCCAGGACTGAAAGGAACACGAGTGTTACACGTCAGGGCACATAACGGAATTGGCGCATGATGAAAACACAAAGCCTCACTCAACCTTCCAGCCACCATCAGCCCCAGTACACCTGCCTCCCCAGCAACCTGGAGGACCAAGCAAGGACCCCTTATCCACCACCCACCAGCCTACGGAGTGTCAATGCACGAACCTTTGCCAACTTTGCCTGTAAACTTCTGAATAAAGAGAACAAAATTCGGCAGGGAAAGAGCAGCAGAGCAAAAGGGGAAGCTTCGCAGAGAAGTATGGTCAGAAGAACTCACCGGGGGAGGGGTTGGGTCCGCGTTCTGGGGACCAGCAAGATCCTCGTCACCGAGCAGCGGGGCGGGCTCGTCGGGAGGCGGGCGGGCCGGGAGGGTGTCGCAGCAGCTGGCGGCCGAGAAGCGCAGGTGGCTCTTGCGCGAGTCGGCCGTGAGAGACACGTCGTGCGAGTAGGAGTGCAGGAAGGCGCGGACGCCGTCGATGCCCACGAAGTGCGTGGCAGGCACGCCG